GCAATACACTACAGGAAGTTATGGGGGCAGTATCGCTTATATGGTCTGGCCAGACTGCACGAAGAAGAATGTAGCCGCGATCCGCAAAACAAGTACCTGTCGGAAGCTTCTAAGAATAATTCTTGTGAAGCCAACACCATTTCAGTTTTGTTAGTTAATGAGTGAAATACGACAATAAAACATTAAACAGGAGTAACTACACTGTCTCTTAGTTTATTAATATTAGCTGTTATTCTGAATTGTACACACCTTCCACCTAACGTTAGGTAGTTAATCTAGGTTTGTGTATTTTTGATGAATGCAGTTCCCCCCCCTCCCCATAAACTACATAGCGAAGAAGTCAAAGAGAATTTTTGCTAATATTGGGGTTCGGGCCAGCATTGTGTTTATGTAAACAGTGGCATCAACAGTTGTGTTCACAAACAAGCCTTATGAAGGTTAACACATGTACAGTCCAGCATAACGACCTTGCATAATGTATTTATTTGAAGGTGTATTGAAACATAGCCCTGCCTATTTATTACTTGCCTCCTTTATTTCAGATACAGATTTACCATGTCTGAATCTTTGTATGAGAAGTTTTTGGCCCCGGAGGAGCCTTTCCCTCTCCTCTCCCAAAGGGCCAACCTGAGTGATGTGGGAACTCTGGATGTCAGCGATTTTGGCTGTCAGCTATCATCGTGTCATCGAACGGATCCTCTGCATCGCTTTCACAGTAACAGGCAAGTACAGAATGACTGTATTTGTGTTTGTACATGTATCTACTGTGCCTGTATACCCCTATTTTGGAGCTCTGTAGTGGTGTGTAGCCTACAATGCTGAGGATACAGACCTGAATGACATCCCTATTGCCTTTAACACTCTTGAGTTCAATTCGATTCAGTTTTATTTATACAGCACCAAATCACAACAACAGTCCCCTCAAAGTGCTGCTACTGTAAAGTGCCTATTGTTAGCCCTCTATCTGTGTAAGAAGAGGAAATTCTAAGTGGCTTGCTAAGCTAGCAGTCAGTCTTGTTGCTGGGGGACTGGAGGAATCCCAGCAGTGAGAGGTTTCAGATTTTCACATCTTATATTTACACCTCAGTTTTTTTTAAAAACTACAAAAACCCTTAAAGAGTAGACACAGGATCTTTAATGTTACTGTGTAACATTTATGGGATTTCAGTAGAGTTTGGTAAATTACCACTCTTGGTGGTGCAAAGTAATCCTTGGCTGATAGATGAAGTATCTGTTAGTTGTCGCTCTTTTGGGACTATCCAGATTCTTTTCTAAAGGAAGTAAATGCATCAGATAAACTCTGTGTGCCACAGATATGCCTGAGTGGTATGCCCTGTAAATGCAGAAGAACTTTAAATTGGAACATCCTGTTGCCTGTTTCCAGTCTGCTTGGCAAATTGGAAGAGTTTTGTAACCGTATGTGGAAAGTTACAGATTATACTCCTCTGCAGCCAAAATGCTTCCACATAACTGCAGTCAAACCTGACTCATTTACTAATGCTAAACTTGTTTAAATTATTCTAATTGTTAAATTTGGAGTAGGTGCTAATTTTCTGACAGCACCTCTTCATAAACTACAGAGTTCACACATTTTTTTATGAAATTTGCTGATATGAAGCATAAAATGCAATTTTCAGATTTCACATCATATGATGTTGTCTTGGATTAGACACATTCCCAGTAACAGGAATTCTATAATGCTGCAAAGTCAAGTTAAATATTTTTTATGCATATTAAAAATTCACACAAGTAATATATTTTTTATTTGCATTTCATTCGCAATATGCCATTGAAAGTAATGTGACTCATATAATGTGCACCAGTAAAATGTGTATAGCCTTTACATTTCCTCTACTGCTGTCCTGAATTGTTAAATGATGGAATGAGTCAA